CACTTGACAAGCTTACTAGTACAGCACATAGTATGGTGATTGCTAAATTCAATTGTACTTTCCTCATGTCAGACCAGCCTTTATAATAATCTGCTTCCATAATAGGCACAAGGCCATGACCAAAAGCAGATGTCAGACTCAACTTACAGTGAACTTGTATTACTTGTATTTGTGATTTTCTTGAGCCCTAGCCTTCTATAACTTTTGTTTTGTTCTATATTTTTGGCACTGTCATAATTATCATTATTTTAAGAATATTTTTGGCAAAAGTAAATCATTTATTGTTTCAACACAAACACGTGTGCAATATTTAGATTTAAAAAATTTTAACCCTGGCTGCTTAAAAAACTCACAATAGTTAAATATTACAGTCTCATACTCTAAATATATTTCTAACTTTGTTCTGTCTACAACATTTTCATCTATAAATTTTCCTGCTTGGGGAATTCTGCAGTGGCCTCTGGCCAAAAACAACAAAGTTCTATCCCAGACTTTAAAGGAGTTATACCTGTTTTATGGTTGAGGCATCAATGGAAAGGAATTCAAGACTTGTTAAGCTAATTCTACGTGAAAACTGTAATACTTTCCATTTATTATTGCAGAAGCAATTTAAAGAATGCTTTAAAATAGAATGATACTAATACAGGGTAGATTCCACTTAGTCATAGCTAAGTGTGACTTTGCATCAGATCTGAGACATACAGATATAATATATCCAATGTGAAAGACTCAAACTATTTAATCTAACTTTTATTGGCAGTCAAATCTATTTTCCAAATCTTAAAGACTAAAGTTCCCTCATCTTTCTCTAGAGTAGTCAGACCATCCTGGGGAGCCTTTCCTAGATTTTCTTAGAATTAATGAGCTAAGCCCCTCTTGCTGGACTGTGTGGTTCCACCTCAACCTCCCCTGGACAGTTTATGAGCAATGAAATCTGCTTTCAGTGTGGAAGGGATTCCCAAAGGATTCTCATTCATGAAAATAAACTGATAAAAGGGAGAGACTTTTATTAAGAATGCTTTTCTCTGATGTAATCCCTTCTAAAACAGAAAATCACTTTAAAGTTCAATTAGGACCAAATACTGTATAAATGGCCTCTGTAACAATTAGACTTCAGATATAGAAAAGGCTGAATATTACATTATTTTCTACTGGCTTCCCTAGTTGTATGCCAAACATGTCTTGGCTACAATAGAAGAGTGCGGAGGCTTTTATATTTTGGGGAGAAAAAAAACTATGGGGATTCTGCAAGGGTGTAGCTGCAATCTGGCACTTTGCAGAAATTTTGGAAAATGAATGAAGTTCTTTTACAAATATAACTCAACAGGGAGGAGGTACTTATAAACTATGGGAACTTTATTAATATGTCCCTATATAAATCTAACCCTTACCAGTGTGACTTACTATTTATTTAACAGCAGCCGTGAACCATATGGTTTTGTTCAGAGATGCAGGGTTAAAGAATAGATTTTATGTTAGGAAAAAAAAATCTATTTTGAAGGTAAAGGGAAGGGAAAAAAGATAAACGTTTTTAGTTAAATAGGAAGGAAAAACCAGTCATAGCTATTTGGGACAAAGACCAAAACCTTTTCAATCCACTAAGCATGAATTAAGAAAGAATATTAAAAGGAAGAAAATCAGTGAGTTGCCGTATTCATCCAAGAAGAGCAACTGTGTTTGTTGCTAAGCAAGAGCTATACAGAAAGAAGGCAGTAAAATACTACATTCTACATACTACAGAACCAAAACAAATAAAAACAACAACAAACCAAACAAACAAACAAAAATACTCCACAAATAAAACAAGACTTCATTTTAACTTTAAGAATCTGCTATGGCAGTTGCTTTTCTCAAAGGACTGAAACAATTTTGACCCCCAGCTGCTACTTATTTTATCTAACAATAGACTGTTTAAAGATGTATGCTTCTGGTGAAGCTATTCATTTCATCTAAACTGCATACAGTTTAAGCCTGAGAAGAGAACTTTACCACCAACAGGCCGTATGCACACTAAATACAACACTTGTGCCTGGTTCGGAATGGTATCTTATATCAAAATGCTCTCTTAATTATAGCTCTTGCTTCTCAAGCTGCTCTTTCAACTTGTCAGAAGCTGCCTAAAGTAACTAAAATTGGACTCGTGCAGAAAAAAATGTATTTTAGGAAAACATGTGCCACAAGCACCTAAACATCTGTTAACATTAAAACCAGAAGGCAGTGTGTTACAGCACACATTAAGACAGGCTGTAAAATTTAATAATTCACAACATTCATTCTGAAATATTATGGCAATCTTTTAAAACGATACTCCACAGTGGCGTAATCATTTCATCTGTTCAACAAATATTTACTGAGCATCTATATGCTAGGCGCTATGCTGGGTACTGAGGACACGATTCACAAAATAAACACATAAAGCTCTACAGGTCTGTATCGTTTTTAAGGCTGAAAAGCAAAGAGAAAATAAGATCATTCTCTAATTTTTCTTCTGTTAGAGTCAGCCATTCACCATCCCCCTACTACAATTACGAGAGCCACAAGTTTTTGCGTAAGTCCACTGTGATGTCTACTGGAAACTTCTTCCTGGAGTCCTAGTGCCAATAGGCGTAGGTCCTTAGGTGAGTCTGTTTAACACATGTTGCCAAACTATTGCAGTTTTCTAAAATCTGATTGCTATTTATAATAATGCTGCTCCTGGAAGAGGTCTAAAAGGAGTCAGTATGAACAAAGCACTTCCTGGTTCAGCCGAGGCAGCGGAACTCCTCCAGTTCTAAGCTGATAACTTCTATGGAGAGGAAAACCGGGGTCTCAGGTGAGAACAGGGGAAGGAAGTAGGAAAAACAACAGGCCTTAGGAGTGAGGATCGGGAAGGAACTCAAACTTTCCCCACTTCCTTTTTCTTTTCTCTTCATCAATCAGATAAACATGTGATAAATGGGAGGGTTTCCTGGGTTTAAGGTTAGGACTAGTGGTAATAGTGGGATGGGGTTATGAGAAACAGAATAGGATTCAGGGACATACAGGGAAAGGAAAAGAAATCCCCAGTAGTGACAAAAGGGGAAGGCCTGTGGATGTGGCAGAAATGAGTCACCAATCAGAGAGAATATGAAATGTAATATACGTTGGCAGAGGAGGCATTAAAAAACTAGGCACTGTTGAAGGCACGCTAGAGACATACATTCAAATGATTAGCAACCACCAATTGTTCCTTGGATATGGGGTGCATGATATATATTGAAAGAATATAAATAAAGGGAAAAGGAAAAATGAATCCTACACTGTTGGAGTATTTGTAATGCCATGCAAATTGCAGTGTTAACACACAAATACTAGTTATCAATCATTTATCCTTATTATAGACAAGGAAACTTTGCTTCAGACAGATTGAATGATGGGACCAAGGTCACACAGTTACGTGTAGTGGCACAACAAGCAAAGACTTGCGCAGTGAACTTCAATATGTGACTTGGCATGTGTCAAAGTCATAAACACGTAGTCCCTAGGGATGCCATGCAAAACAAGACTGAAGCAAGCAGAGAAAGGAAGAAAATAAGACAGACTCCATCCCATATCAGAAGGGAGATGCCTTATGCACTCTGGAGAAATGAAACCACTGGAAATTACTTATCACACATTTCAAAGCTACTAGGGGAAAAAAAAAAACCAATAGTTTTCAGTGACAAATTACCCTAAGGCATATTTAATTAGATAGAAATGTCAGTCTTTGTCAGCCTTAAAAAACATAAATTAATACATTACTCTAAATTTCACAGCATATAGAAATAATAGGTTTAGGTTTATTTTTATCACAATTATAATTTCAGAGTACTAATCCAAGAAAAGATTACCCAAATACGACTAAATGAACACATTTACTCTGTATCAGTGCAGGAGGGGAAAAAGGAAAAGAAGCTAAAGAAAAGACACAGCTTTTTGTATGAATTCTATTAAGTGGCTTTTGCTTGGCTACTTAGGGAATCACCGATTCTCTAAGCCTCCGAGAATAGCAATGAGAAAATAAATCTTTGTGGCTATAGAAAAATCTTCAGCAAAGAAGCTTCACACAAACACACACGAAATATTAATACAGTATTTAATAAAGAGCTAGGAAAATTTTGAGAAAATGTAGTAAGACACTTCATAAACCATTTAATAATGAGCTTTAAGATATACATCAATATAAGTTCTAACTAAAATGTGAAACTATAAAAGTCTTCTTAGATACCTAGACTCAGGTGCATTTTTCTTCAGTATGCCCAAGCCTCATCTTCTTTGGCCATTTCTCCTCTCCTTTTAGGGTATCATCTTCCCACTACTCACACAGATATGCTTAAAGGTCTTCCCCTCTCCAAATCTGATCTCAAGACCGATAGGGAAGCATCCTTAGCAAGGTATAAAAGATTCATGACACTTGAAAGGAGTTATTTCCCTTTGTATTTTTTTAAATTGGACTTTATTTTTAGCATAGTTTTAGGTTCACGGCAAAACTGAGTGGGAAGTAGAGGTCCTCTATATCATCTCCCATCTCACCTCATGTATTTTAACAGATATCAAATCATGAAGCAAAAGAAAGAACTATTAATTTGGGGTCGAGGGAATCCATGCATGGTCTTCATGGGGTCCTTGATCTACCAGATAATATATCCTCAATTTTGCTATATGGGTGCATATACCTTTTTAAGGAAGCAGGTCTCATCAAGTTCTCAGGGGCTGGCATTCAGAAGCAGCTAAGGCCACGAAGTGAAAGAATGAAATTCAAAGTCCAGACATCAGGTAGAGAGACTAAAGGAACTATTTGGGGGCAGAAAGGCTTCATCAGTGTCCCTAAAACCATGCCACATGGGTGGCTGCTATAGCAAGTCTCAATACAAGCTTAACGTACAGCAAGCCTCTTAACTTCAGGCTATAGAAATACCCCAGCTAACCAA